AACTAGACTCTACAATAATTAATAGAATTAATTGATTTAGTAACTATTATTCACCACCCCTGATTTAAGGACACCCCTGAAATAAGGACACTTCAGTAGATCCCAATGGTGTCCGGAGTTAAGGGGTTCCACTGTATAACTTTGTTATAATCTACATGTATCAGCAAGAGCCAAGAGCAGGCATACTGGAGCATGCATACTGCTCCAGACTATGGATACTGGAGGCTCCAGTATCCATAGTATCAGATTGCGACGTCAAATTGTCAGTGTTTTGCTCTTATTTCTCTTGGCCATTATGTCTTCCAATGCTCTTTCACTAAACGAGCCCTCAATTCTTTTAAGTAATGAGGAGAATCAGCTCATTTTCACTAGGGCAAGGAAGTGGTAAGTGACTAATGTAATCTCTAAAGTTCTCTCTTTATTCTTCTGAGCCTGTTGCTTCCTTCTGTACTTTTTTACATCCCTTTTCTATTTTCTTTTACTCGCTCTTTCACCATCGTTTCTTACTCTCAATTTTGTCGTATACATTTTGTATCCTTCCTCTTCTTTTCATTCTCCCCTTCCCCTCAGACAAGACTGAGCTACTCGAGGAGCTACTGCTGTGATTCAGATGTATCATGCTGATCCAAATCCAAACAAGTGGGAGAAGTTGAGTACAGGTGTTGTTTGCTTTGTGAAAGACAATTCTCAAAGATCGTATTTCATCCGGCCCATTGATCTAAAGGTACAGTATATCGATTATGTAACTGTATCCACCAGATCCCTGTTAACTATAATCTGTTCACGTTGACTTCTAACTTATTACTTTATGCAGACTTGGCTTCAAACATGGTCAAGGTGTTAAGTAGATCTTAAGTGAGTATGAAGTACTAGTTATGAATTTCATTATTATTAATTAGCATGCATTATAAAAACATTGGATTAAAACACTATTATTATACATAAAAATCAGACTCATCCAGAGCGGCCAAGTCATCATCAGAGTCAGGGTCTGATGGTAACACTTCATCATCACTACTATCATATTAATCATCGGATTCACCACCAATTAGACAACCGTCATACATAGAATCATGGATGACAAATTCCCGAATTCCGTCCAGTTCCCAGTAGTGATCCTCAAAATTATCTCGAACATGTTTTACCAAGTTCTTCTATTTATCAGGAGTAGCTAAATCAAACCCTTCCTGCCCTGGCTATTCAATCTAACTCCTTGCTTTCTCTTCTAAGTTCTCACTTTGGACGCCATTTTAAACAATTTATTCTAACTTCCGGTCACACCTCCTGTTGTGATTATAATGGTAGGCAGTGGCTTCTAAGTGGCCGGCAGTGCTTAGATCTCGCAGCTTTTATGCTTTCTGCAGTTCCTAAAGTCTTATCCACTAGTCCTATACATCAAATGAAGCGCATTGCTGAGAATATATCTGTGTGTAAATTTGGTATTGATTAGATTTAAAACCTTTGAGTTATTTAAGTTTCATTTAGTTAGAAGTCAACCTGAACTAGATTAATGATATTCATAGAGATACCGTAAAAACAACAGAATTTCTTGGCCGCCATCTTAGGGGTATCAACTACACAGTAACCAATGGGCCAAAAAGATCGAGGGGTCCGCAACTCCTATTTTAGGTGTACGAGATTAAGAGATTAACCAGATTTTTGAGATTATCAGAGATTATTTGAGATTATTTGGAAGATTACCAGAGATTTTTTTGAGATTTCCAAATTTTTTTTGGGATTATCAGAGATTTTAAAAGAGATTATTTATTAATAACTACTTTATAACTTTTAATATTTATTAATTAAAGTTAGTTAACCATTATAACTACTAATAATTATAAATTAAGGTTAATTAATTTTAATAAACTCCGGATACTAGCAGATATGGTGAGATTATTTTGAGATTTTTAAAGATTATCAAGGATTTTTTGGGATTTCCAGAGATTACTGGAGATTTTAAAGATTAACAGATTATTATAGATTATTTTCAAGGGTGTACGGGATTATTTGGAGTTGCGGACCCCTCGAAAAAGATAAAATCGGCCTGATCTGCTTTTCCATGTAACTTAGAGGCTCCTAATTGTTGCAGTGGTATAGAAATGGAGATTAAAGTTGAAATCTTTTCTCTCTGGATGCAGCTCCTTTGCTCTGCTGGCAAAACGGTAAAATAACACCTTTTCCCCATTGAAGACTGTTCAAAATATACCCCCAACATGGCGGCCAGAATAATTTTTTCATTTACGATATCCAAATGAAATCATTAAAAAGTCTATGAATATCATGCATCTCATTCACACGGATCTGGTGGATACTAACTTAAAATATAAAACTCATAATAATGTACATGTATAAATTAATGTATTACTGTACATGTACATCTACATGTTTGGTATGTATTGTGATACCCTTTTGTGTGTATTGTATAATGTTATAGCCTATGGGTGGTATTATTTTCATACATGTATAGTACATGTACATGTACATGTGTGTGTGTTTGTGTGTGTGATTTATTGATTTTATTTGTAATGTACATGCTTGTGTAGAAGTGTGCTGTGGTTTTTGAGCAAGAGCTGTATGATGAGTTTTGCTATTCAAAAGATTGTCCTTCACTCATTCCCTGGACATGTGAGTTTTGTACTACATGTACATAAACTGTAGTGTATTATTTTCTTCTTATGTCCCAATTACATTATACATGCATATTGTACTTGATTCCTCTTCTCTCCTCAGAATTCATGGTTGGTCTCAACTTTGCCAGTGAAGAAGAAGCTGAGGAGTTCCGTGCTGCTGTTGAAAGCAAAATCACTTATGCACGAAGAGCAAGTAAGCTCTTTAGTTCTTGACCTGCTCTCTTCCTTCTGTCTTTTTTGTATCTCTACTTCTTCCTTGTTACTTGTACTTTTCTTTTTCTAATTTTTCTAGCCATGAAGAGGAAGCCTCCTTCTGAGCCTAAGAAACCAGTCAATGCAGTTGCCCCTGGTCCTGTGGCTAATAAGGATCCATACAGTTTAGGGGGTGATGACTCTGATAAAGGGAAAGTTTGCAAACCAAAAGGAGGAAAGAAATTGACTAAAGCAGACATTGGGAAAGCAACTGAATTCAGGTAAACATGAAAAGAGAGAGATGTACATGTACATGTACATGTAAATTATACAAGTAAAGGAAGAAGTTACTTGTACATGTATGTACAGTGTACGGTACATATACTGTACTTGTATTGTTGATATTACTTTATAGTTTTTTATTGTCACTCAACTTAAGGGTGTGACAAATCAGGTGTCCTATTCTGAAAACATTTGTAACGTCCTTAAAATAGAGTCCAAAATAGAAGGAGGTTGCCCTGTGCTCTTAGACAAAGAGCAGGCATAGAAAGGGTAAGTACATTAATTGTTAAGTTATTTCAAGTTTCTCTCTCTAAAGTATTCTCTGTATCTGGAGACAGGATGATAAGCTGCTCACTTTCTCCAGGAAGACAAGAAGGAGGCTGAACTATTGCTTCCTGTTTTCAAAGCATTTCCTAGTGACACAGAGAGTGGAGAAGAAAGGAGAAGAAGGATACCGTCTGTTGAAAGAGAACGGGTTGCTCTCACTCGCTAAGTGCAGGATACATGAACATGCCCTCCCTGAGTATCCAGGTAACGTAATACATGTACATGTACATAGTATCTACCTTAAGGAGACAGTTATTAGTGTGTGCTTATTTTAGCTATTTTAATGATACTGACATTTGGCTGGTATTTAGTTTAGCATTTTGATCATTTAATAAGTTATTAAGAACTACATGTAATAATAATTTAATCAGAATTAATGTTAGTGCAGACTTAAGTTCGCGATTTTTTTAACATTGCTAAAATCAATTTGCTAAGTTAAATACTCACAAACAATTGTTTCCTTAAGGTACGAATTTATTTATGACTGTTTATGTACATTGTAACTCTCAAAGACTCCATCATCACTATTTAACTCTTATCTCTCTCTTCTTTGTTTTTTATTTTTAGAGTTACGTTTTCTCAGTTTTGGTCTTGAGATTGATGATGGTTCACAGAGTCAGTCCAAGCAAAAGTTGATATTTATTGCAATGTCAGTGGC